ATTTGCCAGGTGCGCTCGCGCCTGGTCACGACATTCATTGGTGAGCTCCTTGTACATTTTGAAAGCAGTTTCGTTTCAAAGTAACATGACACTAACCCTTCTTTTTCTCTTTTCTTCTTCTAGGCTCGTTGATGGCGACGCACGAGAAGATGACGTAAAAGTCCGGCACGCGACAAACGAGGCATTGAGAGGAAGCAGGAAGCATGTTTGGGTATGACGTTGTTGGGCAAACAACAAAAAAAAAGGGCAAGAAGGCAAGAATCGGTGCGGGTTCACACAGGGACGGGGGACGTTTTCTCTCCAGCTTTCGTGCGTCTCCTTTTGCGTTTCCTGCCTTGTTTTGCGGTTGTCTTGTTGTTTTCTCGTCTTGTTCGTTTTCTCGTCATTCCGTTTCCCTTCTCAACTGTTTTTATTTTGGTATTTTACTTTTTGTCTTTTGTTCAAATACTTTTATGTTCTTCCATCTCACTTCGCACCAAAACATACCATGCCGTCACGACGATGTTCGCGTCATCAAACGCAGGCCTGCCGGAGCCCCTTCCTCGCTCGACTCCTTCGTAATATGCTACCACTACTACGCATGCAAAAGCCCTCCTTACAATACAGCCTTATGGTCGCCGTTCTCTCCGGACGCTTTCGGGTACCTGTGGCGTTCCGGCCGCTCCGGCACTCATCACGCGCCTGTGTTTGATGGCATCGGATAGAGAGTGGCTTGACCTAAGACGGAATGGAGACTTGCACGATCGGCGGCCACATGGCTCGGAATAGGCGACGCGGCGAAAAATACCTTTTTGCCAGGTCGCCATTGAGCAATCGGCCAATTTGAGCGCTCTGAGAGAGTGATGTGGAAGGTGTCAGAGACTGGATACTAAGCAGGAAGAAGCGCAGATAGGCAGTGCCAGTAATACTTGACGTATGGAGATCGGTATCGCTCCGTAAGCGCTAGCCACCTCGGAAGACGTTGGGATAGTGCCTCGCTGTCCTGTGTTAGTGCATCTTGGCGCTGGCATTACCCTGTAACAGAGTGGACACCTGGAGCTGCCATGCATGCGCATTTACGAAATACGTATGGCGTATTTCCAGTACCATCCGTGGCTTGGTGGTTCTTTCCCTAACCGCTGAGCCTCTGTGCGCCGCCGTCCAAAACCATTCCCTGCTCTCCATTGCGTTTCCCCCGTCGCTCCTGCACCTCGCATTTATTTTCCGCAAATATCGGGTTCGTTCTTTCCCTCGGTATTTCTCGCTTTTGTTTCTTCACATGCGTGTCTGGAAGGCGCGCCTCAATTCACGGATTCAATGCGCTCTCCTGGTTTTTAACATATAACGGACTCGCTCGCGCCTTCCTCCCCCACCATTTCGTGGCCTGTTGTCGGCGCCGAAGAATCCGGAAGGCGCAAAGTAGTGGTCATCTTTCACCTCTCTTACATAAACCACTGTTCTTGCCACCTTACGGCTGTCAGAGCTCGCCCTCGCCCCAAAGCAGACTTCCGACTGACCGTTTCTAAATTCGATAAAAAAGCGAGGTCGTTGCCGATTCTTTTACAGTCGCACTTCGAATACCCGTCTAATCTCAAGAATCGCTGTTCCGTTCCTACCATGTCAACTTGAAATCTGTCTCAACCCCTCTGTTGCGCGGCTTATTTCACACTACTGTTGCTGAAGGGGCCGAGTCCACTAGTTGCTCCATAGCTGCCACACCCAATCCGGACAGCTATTTTGGGTCCGCATATCCACTTTCCTTCGTTCCGTTTGCTTTTCTTCGCACCTGCCCTACGTCACCACAAACCCTCCCATCTGGGTTGACATTAAAGGGCAGGAAGGTCAAGCTCAAGCTGAAGCTCAAGCTCAATTTCAGAGAACACAGTATTGGGAAAGACCGATTGACTAGACCCTCATACCACAATGGCGCCGAACGATTCTGCTTTCCAAGGGGGCAGTGACGTTGCCGCGGTCGCGCAAAATCAACAAAATCAACAACACCAACAACAAGAACCACGGCCCAATGCCATGCGTTACGCTGCTCGTGTTTCCTCCCAAAGACTGGACCGCACATTTAGCTCAGACGCCTCCGTCACAGCCTCGGAAAGCCCCAGTGAGGAGGACTATGACGAGCTCACATCACGGCCTGCCGAGGGCATGGTGCTCCGCCAACGCCGCAAGCCTCAGACCCAATTGCGCAACGAGGTGCAGGCAGACGCCTCCGAGCTCGACGACACGACGACGGAGCAGGGTAACTCGCCACGAGAGGGCCTGGAACGGGAAGCTGTATATTCGCCGACGTCGCGCTTGCAGCGGGGCGGGCGCAAGCTGTCGGCGACGGTGATCTTTGAAGAGAAGGGTGGCAGCGGCAGCGGCAGCGGCAGCAGCAGCGCCGGTGGCGGCAGGGACAGCCAGGGCGCACAGCACTCCTCGGACACGACGGCGGTGTCCTCGTCCGAATCCGTCGACGGCGATGCCAATGGCCTGTCGTCCGTCAAGGCGTACGGTGCCGGTCGGACGGACAGCCACGGTCAAAGCTACGTTGTGTCCATTGACGACCCCAAGCTTGTCGAGATCTTGCGCGCCGATTTGGAGAACATGCGTGAGGACATGGAAGAGAAGCGGCGGCTGCTGGACGGCATCGCCGTCCACGACAAGGCGCTGCTGGACGACGGTGGCCAGGCCAAGCACCGTCGTGGCTCGGTGTCCTCGAAGCCCAAGAGCAAGAAGAAGCCGCGTGGCCGGTTCAGCGACTTTGTGTTTACGCGCGGCTTCTCGACCTTTGACCGGCAGAACGCCGCCGCGGCGAACAGCCCCTTCCACGGCTTCTTCACGCTCTTTTGGATCTCCGTCTTTGTCTTTATGATCAAGATCGGTGCCGAGAATTGGCGCAAGACCGGAAGCCCGCTCGGCACCAACGAGATCATGGCCAACATGTTCCACCGCGATGTGGTTGTCATGCTGCTGTCGGACGGCGTGCTGTGTGCGCTGACGGGTGTGAGCTGGCTGATCCAGCTCGTTGTCCACGACGGCCGGCTCATGGAGTGGGACGGCGCCGGCTGGATTGTCCAGAACATCTGGCAGACAATGTATGTGGCACTCTTCATCGGCTGGACGCAGCTGCGCGACTGGCCTTGGTCCCACACCGTCTTCTTTGTGCTGCATGGCCTCGTCATGCTCATGAAGCAGCACTCGTACGCCTTCTACAACGGTTACCTGTCGTCCATCTACAAGCGCCGCGCGACGCTCCAGTCGCGCCTCGAGGAGCTCCAGCGTGCCGAGCTGCACGGGGGTGATGTTGGCGACAAGATTCGGACGTCCAGCCGGCCTCATGCCGACGCCGCACTGGCCTCCGCGGCTCGCGCGGCCGTGTCGTCTGGCGTCAAGACCGAGGACGGCCATGCGAAGAAGCAAGGCTCCCACGCGACCGCGGAGCAAATGGCGGCAAGCACGGCGACCCCCGAAGCGCTCGACAAGGTCGTGGCCGCCCTGCAGTCCGGGCAGCCCCTCGATTACCAGCAGGCGCGCGTGTTTGAGCGGATCCTGCACTGGGAGATTGACGGCCTGACCGAAGAGCTGCGTGGCAAGTCGACGCGGCCCGACAAGATGTACCCCAACAACCTGACGTTCAACAACCACTACGAGTACATTGTGCTGCCGACACTCGTGTACGAGCTCGAATACCCGCGGTCCGAGACGATCAACTGGCGCTACGCTGCCGAGAAGCTGGTCGCCGTCTTCGGCATCATCTTTGTCATGATTATGGTGTCCCAGGCGTTCATGTACCCCGTCGTCATGCGCACTGTTGCGATGAAGGAGGCCGGCATGCCGTTGGCGGAGCGCTTCAAAGAGTTCCCGTGGATGTTGAGTGACCTCATTTTCCCCTTCATGATGGAGTATTTGGTACGTGTGTCCCCCTCGAACGTTTGAACGTGTCGACTCCGCACACTCTTGCTAACCATTTCGTACTTCGTGCCTCGACAGCTCACTTGGTATCTCATCTGGGAGACCATTCTCAACTTCCTCGCCGAGATCACCTTCTTTGCCGACCGCAACTTCTACTCGGCCTGGTGGAACTCGGTCACATGGGACGAGTTTGCGCGCGACTGGAACCGGCCGGTGCACCTCTTCTTGCTGCGCCATGTCTACCACAGCTCCATCTCGGCGATGAAGGTCAACAAGTACACGGCAACACTCATCACCTTCTTCCTGTCGGCGTGCGTCCACGAGCTCGTCATGTGGTGCATCTTCAAGAAACTGCGCGGCTACCTGCTCTTCCTGCAGATGTGCCAGCTGCCACTGGTGCGCTTGAGCAGAACACGGTGGATGCGCAACCGCCAGACGCTGGGCAACATCATGTTCTGGGCCGGGATTTTCATGGGGCCGACGATCTTGTGCAGCCTGTATCTGATTCTGTAGCGTTGCGGCTATTTTTGCCGTTGGTATAATGCCGGTGCGGTGGTTACATAGGCTATGCTTGACTGCTTCTGCTTTATGCACAAGCGTACTAAACGTCTTCAATATTAATCGTTAATTGCCCGAGCTCGGTTATCTGTGAGGCCGGGGCCAGGTCCCATTAATACGACGTACGAGCTTATAACCACGCCTATTATGCGCGGCTTCGTAGTTGGCTTCGGAAGCGCGCCCACGATGAAACTCGTTTTGCCGCAGTCGCGCTACGACACGTGACTGTGGGTCATGACTAGACAAGTGGCAAGCACGACGCAGCCTGTTGCTCACTGGGCTCAGTCGCTGGTCGCACCTACCCTAGCGGGCGTCGCATCATCTATTTTTTCGACTCTCGCCTTCCGTCGCATTCTGTCTCTCTTTGTCCTCCTTCCATAAATGGTTTTTCGGGCCTTCCGAAACTTTTCTTCTCCCTTCTCTTTCAACACTATCTCTTCCCCCCCTTTTTAATTTTCTTGCTACGCACAATCATCGCTTCGATTGTTTCTTGACATTGCCACGACCCTGTCTTGTTTTCTTCCATTACCTTGCGCCTGCACATTTGTACTTTGACAATGTCTCGCGGCGGCACGACTCTCTACGTGACCGGCTTCAGCCACGGCACTCGCGCACGCGATCTCGCTTACGAATTCGAACGGTATGTTTCCTGAGAAAAAGGTCATCAAAATGGCCTCGTCTTTCTCGCTCGTCGACACGGAGCTGCGAAAAACAAGAGTTCCTCGCATCCTTGTTCGTCCTCTGCCGTCCTCTTTCCCGTCTCTCGCCTTCCGTCCTCTTCGTCCTTCTGTTCGCGATCGTCTTCCTCGTCCTCCTCCTCGTCGCGACCGTCCTTTCTCCTCCGTTCTCACCCCTGTCCCTCCTATTCCTCCGTTTCTGCGTTTCTCGACGTAGCCTCGTCAAACCGTGTTTTCACCCTCGTTTGCGCCCCCCTGCTCCTCGCTGCCATTCTCGCTTTCGTCTGCGTACGCGCCTCATCCTGCCCAGGCCTCTATCCAGCGAAGGAGCGAATGGTACGATAGCGTCGTTCCTGTTGCACAGCATTGCACCCTTGGCTGCTGGTTATTGTGAGGAGACAGGCTGCTTCCCCTCCTATGCCACCTCATTTCTAGGACGTCGTTGGGCAATACGCGAAGGGTGGCACGAAATGGAACGCAGAGCATGCATGTCGTGCGTACGTCTGCACTCTGTCGACGTCAGCGTGCCAAGCGACGAAGAAAGAAGACACGCCACGAGCTTCACCATCTTGACAGACATATCGACACGGACAGTACTGACAGCTATTTGCAATCTAGCTACGGCCGCCTGGTCCGTTGCGACATCCCCGCTCCTCGTTCCGCCTCCAGCCGTCTGTAAGTTTTTGCACCGCTCTCAGGGATTGCGATTCACATACGATTTCTTTCCACGAAGTGCCTCTGCCCTCGGACACATGGATTAACGTTTGTGTAGATTTGCGTTTGTCGAATACGAGGACCGCCGCGATGCCGACGATGCATACCACGACATGCATAACAAGCGTATTGGCCGTGACGACATCCTGAAGATCGAAGTAAGCAAACACCCCGAAGCTGATATTTCTACAACAAACCGCGGGCGTTATGGCTCTGTGTCTTACCACAGTTGACTGACGAGCGGCTTTGTAGTGGGCACGCACTCCCCCGTCCGCCTCGTGGCGGTTCGACTCCGGCCGCGAACGCGATCGCCGCCGCTCTCCCCGTCGTGGCCGCTCCCCGTCTCCTCGCCGCCGTGATGCTTCGCCTCGTAAGGATGACCGTCGTGACCGCGACCGCGACTACGACCGCGACCGTGACTCGCGTCGCGACCGCGGTGACCGGTCTCGCAGCCCGGAGCAACGGTATGGTTTTACCCCCTTGTACCGATTGATTGTCCATGTCGCTCCCACCACGTGACGTATTGCTAATATCTTGCGCAGTAGTGACCGTGACCGTGATGTGAAGGAGGAACGCGACGAGCGCCGTGAGAACGGCACAAACGGTGACGACCGTAAGGAGCGCGAGCGCATTGACAGCCCGCCTCCCCCAGCTCACGACGACTTGGACGTCGCAGAGTAGTGTCCCGATACCTTGACGACACGCAGCATGGGAGAAAACGTTTTCGGGTCCAAACGGACACGGTCCAGAGATACTGTCCGCCAATACGAGGTACCTCGACGCATTCGCCCCTACCACAGCAAGCGCCTCAAGCTGCCCCGAGGCCGTGTGCCGCCACGGTATATTGTTTCTTATAACATCTAAGTGCCCTGCTCGCGCCCTGCCTACTCAGCTCTTTGAATTTTGTTGATGAGATGGAAGCCAGAGCTTGTCTCTTCGAACCACCTCGCCACCTTTCCTCTGTGTACTTGTCAGCTCTTTCCTCTATTTCACTCTCTTGTTTTGTTTTCTCTTATTTTAGTGATCGGTTCGGTCGGTGTCGCACGCGGAAAACGTCTGACGGTTCTCCAACTCCTTTCAAAAATCCAAATCCCTTTTCGATACATCCCGCGGCCCTCGTCGTTTATATTCATCGTGTTTCCAACTGTACCCTTCCCCCCCTAGTCGTCCCCTCGCCACGTACTGCGAATCCCAGCTATCGCTTGCGGGAGGATCGTCCCTTACGGAGGGCTGTGCGGCGGATGTCGGTTCCTCGAGCTCGGCCCCCTTCATATCCAAGTCCGTCTTTCCCACCCTTTGTCTTCTGTCACGAAAGGAACGCTCGCCGACGGCACGAAACGGTCAAATAGCAGAATGTGCGACAAGCAGCTCTTTTCGGGGGCTGTCTTCTTGAAGACCGAACGCCCACAAAAGTAATGTGTTTCTATTTCCTTTTATTTTGTTTTTTGATTTTTTTCTGCTGTTGCTACTGTTTTGAGGTCAAGTCGTTGTTGTAACCTACTCGTCTTTGTCCTCGTCCTCTTGTTCTCGACTGTCTTTCGGCGTCGATATCGAACGGGATGCAACTCGTAAATAGAAATACATCGTTCCCCGATTAGGGAAATACACATTCGTGGATATTTGATTTGCAGGTTGCTCGGACCGCTGTCTAAGTGGACGTTATGTGACTGTTATTTTTGAGGAGCCAGTATGCCAGTTTGACTGGAGCGGTCTGGTTGACGGTATTTGGTTCACGTAGATACGTCCAGGTGATAGAATGCTGCCGTTATTGAAAACTAACCAACGGCCCACTTTGCTACTGAAGAAGCTACAGCAACACTCCCTGTTTTGCGCCTCTTCCTTCTAGTTGCAGTTCAGGTTCGCGGCTGTGTGCATAGCAGAGGCGGATCATATTAGTGTCGTCACTGTTGTGTTCCTCCCGTCTAGAACTTTTCTGGGCTTTGCTACCCTGACAGCCCTGTGCCCTCTAGCTAGCCGTGCCCCACCCCTCCACCGCCCCACCCCTCCCCAGCGTTGCATCCCATCCCATGTGTAAATCGTACAGAATAAATAGTTCCCCTTCTTAGTCCTCATGTTTAAGTCCCTCTCCGTATTTATTAAGAGCATCGATCAACGCCCTCTCTCGTTGAATGATGTCGGCCACCAGCTTCTTGAGACCATCCACCTGGATTTCTGACAGCTTGGTGGTCAACTGCAAGGTGGCGACAGCAATCTGCTCGAGATCCTGGATAGACGCAGTCTCGATGGAGCGCTGCACCAGACCGCCATCGTCTGCCAGGGCCAGATCTGCTTCGGTGAACTCGACGCCGCGATGGCGCACGACGTATCCCTTGACCATAGACTCCTCCTTCTTGTAGTAGCTAACCAGCTCGTTGACTTTCTCGATGGCGACACTGGTGTCGCGCTGCTTGCCCAGACTTCTGATTCTATCAGCGGGGACAAATCCTCGGGTAAGGATGTCAGTTCGAGCGTTAAGCGTTGCCTTGGGTTGGCCATCGTAAGGTTGAGTGTTTTTTGCGACGCTGTGTAGCGTGTTATAATGAAGAAGGCGAGGGAATGTAAGAGGAGACAAGAAGCTGAGACTGTGTGTGTGTGTGTGTGTGGGAAGAAGGAGAGAGAGGGAAAAGTTGGAGGATGCGACCGTTATTTGTATATTTTGGGCGCCCCGCTCGTCGGATGCTGTGATTTGTTGGTCCTCCATAGATGTCAGAATAAATTCAATAGGAATAGCTCGTGGGGGGACAGTAGGGAAAGTAGTAGTACGCTGGGTGACACAACCCATAAGACGCTGTCTAGGCTCTGATTCGTGTCGTGTGTTGACAGTCTATGGCTGCGAGAGTACGGCTCGGTCTTAGTGGGATACCTTAACGAGGCAGTATGTGACGTTAAAGATAAAGAGATAAACACGGAAGGGGCGTAGATGTGCATTGAAACGAGTGACTGTTAGGCAGCTGACAGGGGCAGGGCACCAGAGAAGTCACAAAGACAAGGCTCGTTGGAGAGGTTGGACTAATAGGAACGCGGTATGAAGCCTTATACGGAACCATTATACAGGAATGAGGTTAAAGTGTCAACTTTATACGATATCATCGTAAACCTTCGACGGGTATGAGGTTCGAGAGAGATACAAGACTGAGGCTTCCTCCTCTCACTAGACAGTAGACTGAGTCGTTTCCGATTGTTTGAAATATAAACCTATATAAACTTATATCCCTATGCCCTTATTTATATGTGAGTTGGTAGGATTTTCAACCCACTAATAAGCTAGTTTATCGGATTAGATAAGCGGGCTTGGGATGATGAAAAAGGCAAAAGCACGGAAGACAGAAGCGCACCTTTACACCAGAAAATCAGAGGAAGGTTGGTAGGACTTCCGTTAAGCAAGTGAGATGATGTGAAATCGACAAAAGATGACAAGTTAATGCACCTACATGGCAGAAATGTTCGGCCGGGAATCGAAACCTGGCCCGGCGTCTGTCGATACAACAGATAGTACCGCCACCTCCTCAAGGCGATGTACTCCAACCAGCTACATATCCAAGTCTTCGTTCTTGGCCTCAAGTGTTATTGTCTGTTTTTTTCCTCCTCTAACAAATCATGAGAGACTTTAGCGGCACCTCCCAAAGCCACCACGACACTTTGTTCCAGAGCCATAGAGCGACAACGTATTTCACAGGTTGAGAAAATGCATTTGACAGTCAGGGATTGGCTGTCCGGAAAATCACAGGCCGTGGTAACAGGCCGCAGTCCGCTGGGAGAGAGAGTCTGAGCCGCTGAGATTGGTCTCACCAACAGCGTGACCAGTTGTTTTCTGCCTGTTTGATCATTTAGCGCGTGGTCAACCCAGCAGGTCGCTTTATTTCCCATTATGCCCCAGAAGGCCGATTATGCCGCTCACCCTGTTGCACAGGTCATACGGCTGACCATGAGTTCGCCCTGCTTTCACGATTTCGTGTTTGCCGCCCTATTGGAACACTTTGGAAGCACATGTCCCCTGTGGTGTGCGGCGTGAGATATGCGGGAGGTCACATTTGAAAGTAGCAGATGTCTTGGCCGGCTGGTCTGAGACATGATCTCAGGGCCCAACGCCTCTGGGGCGCACTCTGTTCCCTTACTTGGATCGATGACGGCTGGCTGTGACTACCGAAGCAACCCGTGCGTATTCAGTACAGAGCACTCACCAAAGGTGCCAAGAATGCCATCTGAAGGAGGAGTCGGCTATCAGCCTCGTCTGTGAGCGTATCCACTTTTCTGCCGCACTACCTATATCACTTCGGCTTTCAGTTGCGAATTCGACCTCAAAGAAACAAAGCGCAGCGAGCGTGCGTATGTTTGCCTGTCACTTCTGTGCTTGTCCCTTCTTCACACGACATTTAACCATTTCCTCATGTCGGCGCTTGTAGACTCCTGCTCCGTATTCGTACTCTGCTTTGCACAGCCAGATTGCCGTTTTCAGCGACATACGCCTCAGGCTCCCTCCAATCCAACTCGGAGACGAGCTAGGCCTGCCTAGGCCACTACTCCGTCTGGGAGACAGTTCAGTTGGCGTCTTGCCAAACGCCAAAACTGACCAAGCCCCCAATTCATCTTGGCCGTCTGCTCTCTTGGCTGCCAAGGGTTCCTGTCCTCAAGTGTTCTCCTTTTTGTCCCTCCTCGCTTCTGGCTTCGTTTTCATTCTGGAATTTCCTGCGTTCCCCCATGCTTGGCGCGGCCGTTGTGGGATTTGTTGTCGACACTGACGAAAGTGTCATCAGACTCCCAACAAGACACTGATAAATAAGCGCACGGCCTGGGCATTACCAAAGTACACACCGTTGCTCCTTCCCATTTCTCTCCAACAGCAAGCACCGGTACCTTCCTTGGATTTTCCAGACGCAGGGAAAGAGCGACAGTCGGCAGGACACAGCTTCCTTCCTTCCAGTTTCGACTATCTCTCTCGAACCCGAAATCGATTTCGACAACACTCTTTTCTTCTTTCGATCTATCCGTCGTATCACGTCCGTCTACCTCATCCATTCCCTCGCGTGCTCCGACACACATCCCCAGTGCCCCTGCTCGCCGACCTTTCGATTCGATAGATGGTCTTCTGTGGTCTTTTGTCAAAGGATCTGCGCGAACAGACAAATATCGATAAACTCCCGCCCATTTATCGTTTACCACTTTTTGCCTCAACTTTCCTTCACAACGGGCCGTCGTTCGTTTTCGTCCTTCTTTTGTTCGGCTATCGACCACTGTCCAGCACCTGCACCCGGTCGTTTCCTTGCTTCCGCCATCCGAACTAAGCCGCTTCCAATGCAGCCTTGCTCAATGCAACCCACTTTGGCGCCCCGGCTTTTGAAACCCGTTTCCTGGCACCTTCGACCCTCGTCGTGACCTCGAGCGCAAAACAGCCAACGGAAGCTCTTTGCAAATCAATTTCATGTTCAATCAGCCTCCTCTCTTTCCTCGCAGCCTCTTGACCTTGACACGCGAGCTGTCACACGCGCGCGACTGGCAAGCCCGTCGACTACGTCCCTTGGAAGCCAATCTAGCTCCCCTTCCTCCGCAAAATCGCCTTTTCGGGTTAAGCATTTCCTTGCTAAAATTTCCCCCTTCCCGACCCTGCGCGCACCCTGCAAGACACCTGCAACCTCGTGCATATCTGCCTGTGCCTGCGCAATCCGACAAGACAACCCTTTTCCGACACGACCACGATCGACCACGATCGACCCAAAACCCAAACCCAGCCGCCGCATCGACGACCACACAGCATTCATACAACCCGTGCATCGCTTCGTACTGCTGGGGAGTGAGGCAACGCGAGCGACGCTTTTGAGGGCGTTTTGCCACGTCAATTGGCCTGTTTGCGGAGGGTGACTTTTTTGCCTGGGCAATCCTGCCCGTTTCTTTTTCTGCCGTTCCGAGACATACAGACATACACAATGGCGACTGTACGTCCACCCTCGCCCCGACTTTCTTTTCCTCCGCTGGCCCTCTGCTAATACGCTACGCCTAGGATGACTTAATAAAACGGAAACCGGTCGTGGGGGCCGACATCCTCACCCAGAGTCGCCTCTTCTTCTCTGACCCCGTCGTCGCGGCCTTTTGCGGCGGTGGCGTCGCTGGAGCCGTCTCCCGCACAGTCGTGTCGCCCCTCGAGCGACTCAAGATCCTGTTCCAGATCCAGAGCGTGGGCCGCACCGAATACCAGATGCCCGTGGGCCAGGCGCTCAAGAAGATGTGGGTGGAGGAGGGCTGGCGCGGGTTCATGCGCGGCAACGGCACCAACTGCATCCGCATTGTGCCCTACTCGGCCGTGCAGTTTGGCAGCTACAACTTTTACAAGACGGTACGTAGGTGCGCGGCCAAGGCGTTGCGGTCTCTTGCCTTCTTATCAGTCACGCTCCATTTCCCATGGACGGGAGTGCTAACATGTTCTCCGTTGTAGCACTTGTTCGAGTCGTATCCCGGCGCCGACCTGACATCATTAGCGCGCCTCACATGCGGTGGCATTGCCGGCATCACATCCGTCGTCTTCACATACCCTCTCGACATTGTGCGGACACGCCTTTCGATCCAGACAGCCTCCTTTGCCGGCCTGGGCAACCGGGCAGCACAGATGCCCGGCATGTGGGCCACACTCGTGCTGATGTACAAGAACGAAGGCGGTTTCAAGGCCCTGTACCGCGGCATTATCCCGACCGTGGCCGGCGTGGCACCATACGTCGGCCTCAACTTTATGACGTACGAAGCGGTCCGGCAATACTTTACAAAAGACGGCGAGAAGAACCCGACGGCCGTACGGAAACTCGCGGCAGGTGCCATCTCCGGCGCCGTAGCGCAAACCTGCACATATCCTTTGTACGTCTAGACATACAGCCCCGAGGCCACTGACACACACCATGTACGAGCCGTTGGCTTGCTAACCTTTCCTCCCAACGTTCTTAGTGACGTCCTGCGACGCCGGTTCCAGATCAACACAATGTCGGGCATGGGCTACCAGTACAAGTCATTAACGGACGCCATCCGTGTGATTGTTGCGCAAGAAGGCATCAGGGGCCTGTACAAGGGCATCGTCCCGAATCTGCTCAAGGTGACGCCGAGCATGGCGTCCAGCTGGCTGAGCTTCGAAATGTCGCGCGACTTCCTCCTGGGGCTGCGTGTTGAACAGGACGAGGAAGCTGTCTCATAACCAAGTATATATTTTTCAGTGGTTGTTGGATGCATACTCTTTTTTCATGTCGCTCACTTTTGCTTCTTTGTCTTTATTTTATCATTGGGAGACAGCGCGAGAGCATCATTTCCAAATTATGTCTAGACGCTAGACCTTAGATGCCCGTCACGATTCTTTCTTTCCCTGCCCCGTCCAAATGGCCTACCTTCCCGCTATAGGGGTATCGAGTTATTGGTCGTCGTCAGCACAACAAGCTGTCAGGATACTCATCAAGTAGTTTTGAGGGAGCAGTCATAGGACCGGGACTTTGTATAGATTTCACTGCATTGGGAGGGACTGGTTTATTTTCCTGTTGCGTTTTGGATAGACTGGACTCTGGAACTGGTTTGCATGGAGGCAGCGCTTTGTACTTTGTTTTACTTAAGAACTGTTTTTTACAACCATCTACGGAATCTGACACTGGGAAACACAAGCTGCGAAAACATGATCTTATGTCATCTGAAAAATTGTCAGGCAAGTCAACGTCCCTGGCGTCAATATCTGCAATGAGATTCCTGGCTTTGTCATTTATTACATAAGATTTTACAATAGCGCCTTCCATTGGGGCACCAATCAGCAACAAAACACATTACCCTAATTGCCGCTCTTCACCGCCCACCCACTAATTCCCGCTTTACAAGCACTTTAAAACAGCGAACGAAACGAGGAAAGAGGGAAGAAAAAAGGGAAGGAACGGTCCACTTTTCACTTTTCAGGTTCCGCTTTTGCTTGTTGGCCCAGATTTTGCTAATAATTTTTTGCACCAGTCCCCTCTCTTTTCCGTGTGGCCCTATCTCTTTTTTCCCTCTCCCTGCCCCAACCATCACGACACTCTTTTGTCAACCAACTTTTTTCATCTCGACACTTTGCGGGTTATCTGGGGTTCATTTTACACAAAATCTCTTCCGAGAGTCAGCTTTTACGATGGGTACGTGAGAGAGCAAGCTCTTCTTGCGTCTTTTGCTTCCGACTGGACGCTTTTTTCTCTGTCCTTTGCAAAAGGGACGAGAGACGGCGGACAGTGGGCGGTGACAAGGCCAAAAGACTTCTTTTTCCTTTTTAAGTGTGCGAGTGGGAGGGACGACAACGACATCTGTGGCCATTGGAACGACAACGAGACGAGGACAAGAGACTCCCCGCGCCCATTTTCCATCGAGACGAGACCCGACACGAGAGAATGGAGAGAGCGAGGTTGCGTCGAAGCCAGACATCAAGCAGCACCGCACACACGAGGCAATTGCCGCCAGGAGACGGACGGGGGGCCCGATGCGGAAGCATCTGTGGATATGGGTCTTGATCTTGATTCTCTCGTCTCGCCCGTAAAACGACTGAGATGGGATGCAAAAGAGACGAGCGATGTTGCCATCATGCTAAACATGGGCATTTTCTGTGGCTTGCTACCCGTTGTGTTGTGCTGCTTGATCTTCGACCGACCTGCTCTCAAGGACATCTCTGCCGAACGGTAATCGACGCCTCGTCCTGCTTGTGGAAGTTTCTTGTCCCGTCTGGTCGGACCTTTTGGCCGCTTTTGTTCGGCTCCCTCCTGCGAACTCTTGGCGGCTGGACCTGCGGCACCTTGACGTGTTCGACTTGGAGATGAGGATTGTTTCGGGTCTTTGCGTTGATGGGCATCTTTCTTGATCTGCTCTCGCTCCGGAATGGCTTCTCTTGGCTCCCCCTCTTGTAAAACAGAGGGTGGACAAGATGGTTTGAGAGGGAATTGAGACAGTCGAAAACAGCCCATCATGCGACTGCGCGGAAACAGTCTTTGTTATGTCTCCTTGCCGAACTTGTCTGGGACTGCTTGCTCCGGCCTGCCGTCCTCAAAATCTCGTTTTTTGTTTTGAGCATACCAAGAACCAAAGGGCTGACTGGGAGGAATTTCTTTTTTTTGTCTCGTTTTTGTAGGTATCGATCTCAAGCACCACCACGTGCGCAACTCGCACCGTGCCGCTCCCAAGAGCGACAACGTCTACCTGAAGTTGCTCGTGAAGCTCTACCGCTTCCTGGCCCGTGAGTTCACCTCCCTCCCCCCCCTCCTGGCGCTGTTGAAATGTATTGTTCCACCTACTGACCGACCACCGGCTAGGCCGTACCGATGCGTCCTTCAACAAGGTCATCCTGCGCCGCCTGTTTATGTCGCGCATCAACCGCCCTCCTGTCTCGCTGTCGCGCATCGCTGCCAACACCCGCAACGGTGACAGCGCCAAGAAGACCGTTGTCGTTGTCGGCACCGTCACCGACGACAACCGCCTGCTGACCGTCCCCAAGGTCCAGGTCGCTGCCCTGCGCTTCACCGCCACGGCCCGTGCCCGCCTGACCGCTGCCGGCGGCCGTGCCCTCACCCTGGACCAGCTTGCGCTGGAGAAGCCCACGGGTGCCAACACCATCCTCCTGCGCGGCCCCAAGAATGCCCGCGAGGCCGTCAAGCACTTTGGCTTTGGCCCCCACAAGCACAAGAAGCCGTACGTGGCCTCCAAGGGCCGCAAGTTCGAGCGTGCCCGTGGTCGCAGACGGTCTCGCGGCTTCAAGGTCTAAATGGACAAGGAAAAACAAAAAGGGAAAATGCACTTTTGTGTGGTGTTTTCTTTTCCTGTTTTTTTGTTTTGTCTACTTGGACTTTGTTGCACGTCGGGTGGTACGGTACTCTCATCCTTTTGTTCGCTTGTGTGTTCCATGTGCGTTTCCCTCCTTTGCGTGAGAGAACATATAGGACGCAAGCCATGCAAATTTTCCAGCGTCATGAAAAAAAAGTTGGAAGGATGGGAGTGCCATGGAGTGAGAAGGAGAATATAAAATAAAAAGCCTTTGTCCTTTTCGAAAAACGGATTGTTTGTGATTCCTATTC